CTTTTATCACATGCATCAACCCCAGAATCCCCCTTCTTCATTCTTCATTACACTTTTCATGCTTTTCTTGGTACCCTAATATTCTCTACTCTACTGTCTCCTTGAAATGCCAAAACATTAAAGTACTATCTTGTTTATTTCCTATCCACTGTTTATAATAATCATATTCGTTCAATGTCTTTCCGCTACTGAAAGAAAACTGCTGTCTCAGAGATTCTCCTTAATTAGCCTCTTACTAGGTCTGTTTTGTTTTTGTTATCAAATGAATAATAAATCCCCTTGTAATTATTCTTCGTGGCCTACCTAACTTGTTTTTATATCTTTAGTCACCAAGTATGTATGAATTTTTCCCCAAGAACACTGCATGCTGCATCATCGGGTAAAGAAATGTTCATTTCTTTAACCCTCTAGATTTAATTTTCCCCAATATCTAGAAATTCTCTGACAATATTGGGGTAAAATACAAACCATATATCAAATTTGTCTGGCAAACCCTGAAGAGTTTTTCGCCCAAAAAAAAAGATTAATATTGAAGCCCGAGCTGAAAGTCCTGAAAGTGTAGGCTTTGTTCAAAACACATTGATGAAGAATGTTGATTGCTCAAGTTCCACTCCTTGTCAAGTGTATGGAAGGAAACATTCTCTGTGATTCATGTCTCCTTGAGCATGTTCAATCTGTTGTGAAGCTTTGTGAGGTTTTCAAATTTATTCTAAGCATAATGAGTATCATATGCTCACACTGATAAATATCTGCTCTTTCTGAGCCCAGGAATTGTAATAGTCATCTTTCCACCGTTTTTGAATCATGTAAAATTTTATTGTCAGGTGAAGTGGAGGTTAATGTGGGTGTCTGCATAATTAGCACGTTCAGTTTTGTTGTGCACGTTTAGAAGCAATTTCGAAGCAAAATGATGTTCAAGGCAAATCCCATGTTCCGTTTCAATCATGAAACTTTTGGTTTCCGTGATTAGCATTATTTTTTGTATGACATTTTCGCTTCATTCTCACGCCAAAGCCCACAGTTTAATGGCATAATTTGACCATTTGGAGACCACAACCCTATAGGGACCATTATATAGTCATCTTGTTTGATGTTGCTTTTAAATATAGATTTCTCAAGAGAAGGATGAAGACACAACTGGATTGTGGATTGCCATTAACAGAGATGATTGGTGTCTAGTGCAACTATTACATATCAAGAAAGAAAGGAAGACAGGGAATGTTGGTTGCTATATATATTGTCTCTTGAATCATATTATTGAGTGTTTAAGGTAGGAGACCATGGATGAAAAGTTGGGGCATTGGATTTTATTGGCAACTTTGCATGCTTGTAACTGTCGCAGTCAACACACACTAGCAATCCAGTATTGTTCGTGAAGGCGTGACAGAACTACACGGCATAGCTTGCTTATGATCCTTCCGTAATCATCCGTGTCAATTAAAAGCAGAAATACCTAAATTTGAAGCTGCATAAAAGGCCCTGAATTCTGTAACTATATATAGACTATAGCTTATGTTATGACCAGACCATAGTTGATTTGGTGATTAATTTATGGGTATGGCAAAAGGAAGGCGTATGGGCCAGCAAATGAAGCTGCAATGAGTTGTGTATAGATTTCACAAGGTTGGTCCATATATATAGAAGCTCTGTTTGCATAAGTGATGGGAGCTGATTTGATGCACAGACACCATCATAAGTGCTCATCTTCAAGGCCTTCATGCTGGGACCTCCCCTGTATCATCAACCCCTATCTGTGCTTCGCTTTAATGCCTTCTTTTCCCCTGTCAAGATCCGACAAGAATATTATGGAAAATGACGTATCAAATTTGGGGTGAAAATCATCATTCATATGTGGCATGTTTCAAGACAAGTGTAAAATCATGTACAATACATTGGCGAATGAATGAATGTGGATGGCATACAAGTCCTAATGACATCACCTTTTTGTATATACTTCCTATTTGTATTCCAAGTTTTTAAGGATATATCGCCACGTTATTTTGGGAACAAACAGATGGGTGAATATATGAGTAACTCTTGTGATTACATACGAGTCAGAAACATTGTTCCGATTGTGATTGCTTACACGACACGTGGGCAAAAGGGACAAACTGGAAGTGGACAGGTGGCCTTATATAAACGCATTGCCAAGGCATCGTTGTCTGTTTGTCTTCAAATGTACGGTCTGGCCTCCCGGTCCGGCTACCGCGACGCCATTCTCATAAGCTTTTTTGTTGAGCATCTGAAGCTTAATTATCGCAACATACTTCACTGCCTCTTTGCTTTCAGGAAATTTGAAAGGTATTTCTCATTTCTGATTTCTCTCTTTCTTTCTTCAAATCCACATTTACACTCTTTGATTGCTGGAAAACGTAGTAAGCAAAACGAATTCATGTTGTTTTCAATTTTGAATCTTCCCGTACATAATTTCACCTGGACTAAAACTTGTATCGGCTGGGATGGACTTTTTTTACCCAAGGAAAGAAAAAGAAGCCTTGAACTACTTGACAGATTATTGACCCTTCCGTTAATGATTCAATTTCTTATTTCTTTTTTTTTTTTTTGCCAGCCTTATTTCTTATATTATATCTTTATTTAAAAGAGAATATTTCTATGTTTCTGTTATGAAAGTTTTGGAAAGAAAACTGAAAAGGAAAATGAAGAGAGAGAGCTCTGTAAACTATTTGTGAAGATGTATCTTGTTCAATCTGCAAAATGATATTTAAATCACGATAATAAAATACCATATCCGACTCTTAATATAAGAATGAGTTGACTAATAAAATACCATATCCGACTCTTAATATAACAACAACAAAAAACTAAGTTATCAAGTCTGTCACCAGAGATTTCAATAGAAAGTTGAGCTTTAACGTAAAGGAGAATGAGATAAAGAAAGGGAATCTTATGATGGAGAAAGATGATGGGCCTGTCAAAACTCTTGTAGTCACATGCAGTTTCCGGAGGCTGGACAAAACTCGAAAAATGCTTGTGGCCGATGATAAGGTCTGGAACAATATAATCATATTCCATAAAGTAATTTTCCTAAAGATTTAGCTAAACTAAAATTCAAAATATTTATTGTCAGGTTCTTCAAGTGCGATAAGTCATGCCCAGGAGTCCTATATTCATGAAGGAATTTAAAAGCTTGCTAAACTGTAACCAACTTTATGAGTAAGCTTGCCCACAAGAATGGTATTGCTTCGTAAGATAATAAAAGGGCGTAGGCATAGACGTTTGGCAATCAAAGTAACATTTGTACACCTCTGAGAAAAACAATTATCTCTAAAAATCATTTTTATTCCTTACATGCTATCAACCAAACAGAACTGAGTTTCCGCAGCTCCGACGAGATTGGGAGTTTGTACTCGGATTCCATTTATGAATGACACAGATCGAATGGATTTACAGGTGGGTGAGTATCGCTGAGCTGCCTCTCCATCATTGAGTTAAGGCCTTGGAAACGTGGGTTTTCATAAGCCCAACAAACCTAAACATTATAATCCAGGTTTGGTCAGATGGGGTCATAGAATTGGGCCAGAAGAGGCTTCACAATTGCACTTCACTCACTTTCCAGTCTCCTATTCTTCCTTTGGAAAAGCTTACTTTTCCTCTCCGTTTTGAAAAACGACATGAAAAAAGGGCGGCTTCTGTATAAAACGAAAGAAAAGGGGAATTTAAAAAAGAGGGCCGAATCCGAATTAACCCTTTGTGATTATCCCCGGGGGGCCATAAGTTCATGATGCCATGTCTTCAAAAGCAGGTCGAACTGGTCTTCCCAATCGTGCGCTGAGGCCATCCTCATCAACTGTTGCTGCCGTGCAATAGTAATATCCCGAATACGCCACACCCTCCTAACCCCGTCGCCTTTTTGGTTCTTTCTATTCCCTAAACTCTCTAATATTTCACTGTGCTGATCAATCTCACTCGAACGTCACAAGCATATACAACAACAGGAAGAAGAAGAAGAATGTGACGGCATATTTTATGTTATGCCCATAGCCATGGGAGTAGACATGGCCGGTTGTATTCCTTGAAAGACGGAAGCTTTGGAACGCCCACCATGGAGAACGGCGTTTTTTTTTAAAAGCAGTAATACTATTTAGAAACGATAGCAAATTTGGGGGGATGGGTTTATAACGGTGGAAGTGAAAAACATGGGTTGGCCTTTGTGTTACCGAAGAATGAAAAGTCAAAGAACATTGAAGGCTGAAATGAGGGAGGAGAGCATGAAAAGAAGAGACACGTACAGTCATGCAATCCTATGCCTCCGCCAGCTACTCCCTACGCTCCATTTTTATGACCGCACTCCTGCCTCCAAATATAATGTTTATTCAGATTATTATTTTTATTTAAAGGGTATTTTCGGACATTTTGAAAGCATTGGTGACGACAATTTTTGAGGGTGCAGCCTCCTCCTGAAGCTGCATCTGCATGTGCACAGAAAGTAGGGGTCGCCTCGTCCAGGTTCCCCATCCAGCCAGTGTTAGGGCTTAGGACCATGTTAATGGGTCCCAACCATGATCCCATAATTACAACAGTCTCATTAACAACTCCTGGATTATACTCTTAGTAAATAAAAATTCATATTAATATAGTACGATTTCTCAAATGTGCATTAGTATTTTGTTCAGAAACAGTTGATGAATTTAAAGAATTCAAAGAGAATTTATCAAACGCCTCTTAGCGTCTTAGCTGGGGTAGAAAGGTAAAGGAACAAGGTTTATACAAAAGAGTGGTCTCATTGGTATGTTTTTTCCTTTTTGCCAGCAAAAGCTCATTTGTATATTTAATTTGTAAATGTGGTTAATATTATATAGACATCTCACAGGTCTTACCGGATGAATGAAAGGAGAACAAAATAATTAAAATTAAAAAGGAGCCCGTAATTAAGGAACGGTTCCGGGGTTTCCCTCCAGGGTAATTCCAACCTGCCTCCGACTACTTATTAAAGCTGTTTCCTATCATCACTTTTGTCGTTTCCCAGTCGCTTGCCTGCTCTCACTGCCAGAAGCCAGAAGCCATTACAAGAGCTCCTTCCCCACTCCTCAGTCCTCATCTTGACATCTTCCTCCTCAACCCACTCATGGATTCCCTTCCTCCCTCCTACCTCACCCTCATCCTCGCTTGCCTTCTCCCTCTCCTCATTCCCGCAGGTATAGTGACTCTTTTGCTCTCTTCCTCTCTGTTTTTCTTCTTCTCTCTCTGAATGCTTCGCTTTGCATGCCTTTTCAACAACACATTTTTTTTAATATATTCTAATCTCTCTCTTTGCCTGTCCAGGTGTTGTGGCCACAACGTTCACATTTGTAAACAGATGCGAGTACACTGTATGGCCGGGTATCCTTGCAAATGCAGGAAGTCCTAGGCTCGACACCACAGGATTCGAGCTCCCTAAAGACACTGCCCGTTCATTCCAAGCTCCGACCGGCTGGTCCGGCCGCTTTTGGGGTCGAACTGGCTGCATTTTCGATGGATCCGCATCCGGTTCTTGTCTCACCGGCGACTGCGGCTCTGGTAAGGTCGAATGCGACGGTTCCGGGGCAGCCCCTCCGGCCACGCTCGCTGAGTTCACTCTCGGCACTACAGGTGGTCAGGACTTTTACGACGTTAGCCTCGTGGATGGCTACAATCTCCCTATGATCGTGGAAGGAACGGGCGGGTCAGGTGTCTGTGCTTCGACCGGGTGTACTTCCGATCTGAACATGCAGTGCCCGGCGGAGTTGAGAGTTGAAGACGGCAGCGCTTGTAAGAGCGCGTGCGAGGCTTTCCGTAGTCCGGAATACTGTTGCAGCGGCGCGTATAGTTCACCGGCGACGTGTAAACCATCTGTCTACTCGGAGATGTTCAAGGCCGCTTGCCCGAGGTCGTATAGCTACGCCTACGACGATGCTACGAGTACGTTTACTTGCGCAGGTGCAGATTATACGATCACCTTCTGTCCATCCTCTCCAAGGTGAACTAATCTTTCTATATGATGAACAATCTCTATTTCACCTCTTGTTTTTACCCATGTTTCAAACGGCCAAAGATTGAAACTTTGACGCATACGATTTTAAATCGGATGCTCCTTTGTTAGTTGGAATAAGTGGGTCTTCGTTAAGGTTGGTGCTTTTGCCGTTCCTATGGTGATTATGACACTTGCACTTTACAGAAAACCCATTATTTGACCGGAACTCGAGTAACGTTTTAATCGTTCTATATTAAAATAAATTAATGATTGTCTCTTGTGTGATTACGCAGCCAGAAATCTTCACGAGACATGCCTCCTATGAACCCAACCATGGCACAAGGATCAGGGACGGGTGTGGTAGCTACTGGTACCGGATCCGGGTATGGGTACACTAACACGGGTTCTATGTCGAGTTCGGGATCCGGAGAGGCCGTTCTTGCAGATGGGTCGTATTTGGCTGGTTTGGCCATGGGAAATACAGCCAGAACACTCCCCTTCTCTGCCTTCATTTTCATTTCCAGCTGCTTTTTACCCTTTATGTGCTTGCTTTAGCCTTGTGAAGGATCATTTTCTTGACTTCTTTGCTTATCAAATGTAAATGAGACGTAGGATTTTCGGAGTAAACGGGTTCTTGGATTTTGGCTTGCCAGGAAATCTGACAAATTCTTCCTTATTATATACCACCCCCTTCAAGATTCTCGAGGAAAAAAACATTCTATGTTCCATACTTGTTACTTTGTAGCATATTTTAGTGTTCAGTTTTATATTATTTTCTTGGGAGTATTTATCTCTTTTACCGATTTTTCCGAAGTTCTATGATTATGGAGTTCATAAAGCGAACATATTCCCGTAATTTTGAGCTGGCTTTTCACATGCATTGGCGACCTTCTCAAATACAGGGACAACGATTTCTATTCATGCTTGTCTTCGAAAGGAGACAAAGGATTCGGGAAAGATTCTCAGAGTGAATATTTTGCCAAGGAAGCAATCTTATCTTGCGTTTGATGTAGAAACTTGCTTTTTCGGCCTCACAAGTTGTTTTTTTTCCTTCTCTGGCTTTTGGATTGTCTGCTGAGGAAGATGGATGTGATGTGCTTGTTTGTGTGATATTATCAAGTTGAAGAAAAATTGCTCTCACGAAACATTTTTTTTTATATACATAATGAAGATCTGTAGATCAATAAAGTCAATGGGAAAGATCATATCATGCTGAAGGTTGAAAAGATTCTCGACTGTCATGATTCTAATTCGCTGTGTTTTTAAATAAAGATCTTGAACCTTTTTAGCAAATTTCAAAAAAGTAAGATCAGTGGTCCCAATCCAGTGCATTAATCGAGAGGGCCGAACACTTTGGTATGTGTGAATGTATGTGTGGGCTTTCTTGAAAATGCATTGCAAGACTTTTTCAGTATTTGATTTCTTGATGTGAGCGCATAGTCTCCTGGATTGCTAACAACTAATCTTAAGCTAAGCATTTTGAAACCAGAAAAGGCCAGGGAACTCTATTTCTGGCGTTGTAAAGCACACAGCCGAGATTTACATCATGGCGATTAATGCAGCTACGAAGGTGATACATAAAACTAGTACATATCTGGCAAGATTAAGATGCGGCTACTGCAGGGTTAATTAAAAGAACGTTGAGGCGAGTGAGCGAGTCACAATGTAATAGTAAAATGTCTAGTTTCTTGACCTTGAGAAAGGGAGAAAGTTGAATTTGCAGTTTTGTTGCCATATTGGATTCCGATTCTATATTCTCCCAAGAACCCATAAAAGCTAAAGGAACCATGTTGATCTGTCAATCCCTTTACACTGCAGGTTTGCCATTCTTGAATAAGTTTATCCACCACATCCCCTGCTGGAAGATTCCTGAAACCACCGTCCGTGAGGCACATTTGATAACACCCTTGAGGGTGAAATGCTGTCCATAGCATTATGCCATTCACACTAGGGTGAGAGAATCCTTCTCTTAGCACGTCTTCCAAATAGCTAGCCTGCACACAAAATCGATAGTTCCGTTATATGGTTTTCAGTTAGTATAACCAAATCAGAAGTTAAGAGTAATTAAACCACATTCGGTCAAATGAACGGAAGATCGATCAGCTTATGTTGATGACCTGTGTATTTTTATCAAGAGTCTTGCTGATGTCGACTTCAGTAAACCAAATGGGGATTCCAAGCGTTGCCAACTTGTCTAGGATTGCTCTGATAAGAGGAGGATTCGGTATTGTGAAGTGACCTTCTAAGCCAATCCCATCCATAAAGACACCATGTTGCCTCAATTGTTGTAACCTTGAGATGTACGAGTCAACAGTGGAATTTACATCACAGCAAGTCTCAACAACATTAAAGTCATTCATGAACAAGGTTGCTAATGGGTCGGATGTATGTGCTGTCTGGAAGAACTGGAATGAGGCATCAGGTCCAAGTCGTCGCTCATAGAAATTGAAGTGGAGCATCTCGTTGCTGACATCCCAGTGTATGAACTCCTCTTTGTATTTGCTCATTAAACTTTGAATCCGAGAACTCACAGCAGATTGTAACTGCGGACCGGTAAGGTTATGAACCCATGCTGGTGTGTATTTAGGATCTTCCCAGAATATGTTGTGGCCTCTTGCTATGAGCTTGTTTTCTCTCACAAATTGCATCATCTGATCTGGAATGGTGTAGTCGATCTTGCCTTGGTCAGGCTCTGTTGCGTACCATTTGAGCTCATTTTCAAATACTACAGCATTGAACCGCTTCACAAACCAGTTCTGCAGGCACAAATGGGAAGATTTTCGTTTTTGTTTTTCATATCTATGTTGTCAAAAATGTTGTTTGACCCATTCATTGGTTTATGGGCTACGAAATATCTAATCAGGCCCAATCCATATAAAGACTAAGTAATAATGGCCTTGCGGTTCTAATTTTGTCATGGTGTTACTGGAATAGACTAGGTAATTTATCAACAAGGTTGGATCTAGCGGAAGGGACCAGTTCTTCATAATATGACGAACCAAGATTCGAATCCCACTGGAAGAGGTGTCCACATTTAATGCCCGACAGCACCTCGAATAAGATTGCCTCCAATAGGAGGATACCTATGCTTGGGGGGAGGGAAGAATGGACCAAGTAATTTATAAACGAATGTAGGAGGTAGAAACCTGGTATGGCATATTGCCAAGGATGGTCTTTGCAATAGCAGATCCGAAAGGGAAGTCTTTAGAGACCTGCTCTACAGTGATGGCGGCTCCTGGCAATCTGTCTCCATTTGATTCGGACACATGAATAGTTACGGCTCGCTTTCTTTTCTGTGAATTTCAAAGTGGGAACAGATTTAAATTCTGTTCATACATGAATCAAATATATGCTGAAGAAACATTAAACTCAAATGCACGCACAGTGTTGATGATATACTGTTGATTAACTCTCCACTGCTGTATCGTAAATGGCTGCAAAGAAGGACTGGCCAGGGCTATTTTGATGTCACTACCATAAGCGTTCTGCAGCATTAGAACAAGCAATCAACTATGTTAGAGGATTGAAGCTGTTTACGAGGCTGCAAAATTTCAACAAATTGAAAGGAACCTGAAAGAAGAGTATTGATAATTTTGATGAGGAATCCAGAACAAATCCTCCTTTAAGAAATGACCAGCAGCCAGGCTTGGCCAAAACTGTGCCAATGCAGTCATATGCCATATTTCCCGTTTGGAGGGTTGCCCTTACTAGACCTGAACTTCCACTTTCGACTCTTACCCAAACTGTAAAATATCATAGGCCTCAGCATCGTCACAGTACAATACCAGTATAAAACACAGAATCTAAGCCGTCAATCACATTGCAAAAATATAGGAGGAGAAAGAGAGTAAAGAAGATAATTTTCTAAACATCGGATACATTACAAAAATGAAAGTAGGAGAAAGAGAGCAAAGAACACCACCCAACTGGAGAAACAGTAGATTGTCCCCTGAGTGAGGTTGTGCAAAACCAATGAAGGCATAATATAACCATGGCCCTCCTCAACACCCTGACTCTGAGAGGAGAACTGAGGGAGATGACTGTTCAAAATTCCTCCCATGTAAAGCGGCTCCTCGGGCTCCCTTTTGCACTGTCAAGGAAGCATGTACATTGGAAACAGACACAACCTTAATCTTTTCAATCCCATGTTGAAAACATCTTACCTCTGTGTACGCAGTGGAGTCATAGATGGGTCCATCTGCAATGCAGAACACAAAATAACATCACACACCGGGAATCCCAGTCAACTTACTAGTTGACACTCAGATTAGAGGAAAAAGGGAAAGAGAACCGTATAAAGTGGAAACCAAGGAAGCACAGACGAAGAGAACTAAGCCAAAGAATGGAATAATATTTCCCATGTGTAGGACTTTGGAGGGTGATGGTGGTCACTTTCCTTCTGGAACAGTGAAGACGATGAATTTGGAAGTCCAGACTGTGGTGAAAGAGAATGGTTTGGCATATATGTACAAAGGCCCCTGTGGTTGTCCTATCTTTGACCTATTCTTACTCGTAAAGAAAAGTGTACCTTTAAGTTTTTAGAGGTTAATGACAATGAGAGGTGGTATCACAAGGCAACAGGAGAATTCTGAACAGAGACCCGTGGTAGGCTGGATCACATGGCTCTACGTGAAACATAAAGCTCCATGTGACTGTCACTTAAGTGACAATTTTATTACCAGCCTGTGTTTTTGTGTGTGTATGTGTAGATACTCTATAATGCTTTGCAGCTGGCAAATTTTACTACTTTGGCTTATCTTTTCAGTGATTGTCAATTTACCAGTCGCACACAATTTCTAAACGTCATTTATAACTTTACCAAGACTTAACAAATACAATTACTTCATTCGGCATTACCCATCCTGACCTATTCTACAGTCTTCCCCTCCTTTTGATCTTCCCAAGCTCACACATTTGGATCGGTTCTTTCCCACGGCGAGCCCGGATTAATAATGGCGGGTAACAAATGAGGATCCTAATGATACAGTAGCAAGGCCCAATTAAGTCGTATCTAACTGATTGAAAGCAATTCATCCACTCATCCTCCCAACCTTAGTTTGAAGCAGTTGGATCGATTACGGAGAGATGGCATGAGAACAAAAGGCCAATTTTTTTGGGTTTTTTTTTTGGGTGGGGGGGGGGGTGGTGTTGGGAATTTATGATTCGTTTCCTGCGACTCCAAAGCATGCTTTTCCTTCTTTTTGTTTTCCCCCGTAGTAGACTCTTAATAAGTAGAAAATATCATAGTAAACCTTAGAGAGATGCTCACATGTAATATAACATCCAACTACAATAACTCAAACAGAATTACCTTCACCGGAAGAAGAATACATCTGCACGATTTTTAAAAAAAAAAAAGAAAAAGTAGAAATCGTTACAATGAAGCTTCCATGATTGCATTAATTACTCGGTCGCATGCGAGCTCCCTCAGGGGACAGATGGATATGGAAAAAACGCTTTTGAATTGTGATAAGCAACAGTCATGAAGAGGACGACCCCTTCGTCATACATATTTTAAAAAGAGAAAGGCCTTTTTTTTTTTTGGGCCGGGGGGGGGGGGTTTGTGTTGGGGGCAGAGAAGAGAGAGTGGTTGAACTAATGAAGTTGTGCTCACTTTATCTGACTAAGGCGTCTTAAATACAAGGAAATCTCTATAGGCAGAGGGAAAATCAAAATCCCAGATTACAGTGCTAAATATAGGCACACTTCCGATCTTGTGTCCAGCACGAAACAGCATTTTGTTTTAAATATTACTAAAAAAACGATTCATCATCAACAAGACAACAACAGTAACAACGCTGACTTATTGCGGCTAATTTTTTTGCCGATAGAACCAACTGAGGATACATGAGAAGTGGACAATGAAGGAATAAGCTAACTTTGGCGTGAAGAAACCAGGATATCACCGAGCAAAAAGCCCATCAATCCCACGATTCTTGAGCCATCTTCGTACTCTTCAGCTATCTAATATTCTTGCTGGCTGAAATCTTTCTGTAAACATTCTTGGTTCTGAAGGACAACAAAATGTCCAACAAGAACCCAACAATGCATGCGGCGGCCATGATTATGAAGACAAGCCTGTAACAGTGGGCTCCGACGCAGGTGTTGCCGCCTCCTGCGACGGCAGTAGCCTCCATATCGTATAATATGCCGGCGAGGAGGCCGGAGAAGAGGAAAGATCCGAGGGGAAGATTGAGGATGAGGATGTTGTAGATGAGACCGTAGTATTTGAGTCCAAATAGTTCAGAAGCCGTAGGGACCGTCACGGCCAGACGCACTCCATAGCAAATGCCAACCACCATAGAGCCAACATAGAGGGAACCAGGCACGGCGGTGGCCATGAGTATGTATCCCACGCCCATCAGAATCTGAGACGCCGCGTTCCATAGAGGTCTGGGTGTTGCCGCTTTCCTGTCCACACATGAGCCCCATCCATTTCACGTCAACTATGTTTACAATTTTGACTAACAATTTGGGTTAGATTCAGCTGTCATTTTCCACTTGATGTCCCATATTTTACCTAACTTCCTTACTTTCGCCTTGGTTTTCTTTGGTATTAAAAAGTCCTATGAAATCATTTATCTTAAATCACATGTACTGCGCAAGATACACAAAATATTTAATTTAAGAATCGACCGGGAGGATAGTTTTTCTTCTACATTTATAATAAAACTATGAGATAGGGCAGAATGTACGAAAGTCAACACCCATAAAGACAGAAAGGAAACATGCCTATATCAGGTGCTGCAGACTCCAAAATATCCTAGGAGGCCCTGGTAACTCTAGCTCCTCTTAAACCTTTCTATATGACGGGAAAAAATGGGGAGAATGATAATTAAAGACCTTATAATTAAGAATGTTGATACTAAATCGGGAACTCATTATAATTGATATTCCCCAAATTCACCGCTCATTTTTCCTATATTTCAATTTTGGAAATTTTTTGAAAAATACTGATTCAGAGGTTCTTAGCTGTCATTCTTCCAAAAAAAAAAAATCTAAAAAATATCTGAGGCTCTGTAAATCAAAAAGTCACATGCACCCGATACATGAAAGGAAAACCCAATTATATCCAGATTTGATCGACAAAGAGACTAATATATATAAGCTGGGGTTGTAAATAATCTTAACAAATCAAACCTCTTGTGAAAATCAGCTGTACGCAGCCAATTCCATGGTGGCTTGGCAGGACGCTTCTGCGGGGTTTCTTATAAGTTCGAGGGAAGTTTATTATTTGTAAATTGCATAAACTTTTAATGAAAAAAATTATATTTTACTGTGTTATACATATATCAATATAATTAGATGATTTGGAGGGGGCTCAACTGCATAAGAACCATCCTCTCATATAAATAGTTGACACGAATTAAAAACCATCCCTTTTTGTTATTTACTTTTCTGGCCGAAATCTCATTTTTTGTTTTATACGAGCAAGAAAGCGTAAGTTATGGAAATTGGACCGGGTAGACTGACTTCAGGCAAGCCAAGGACGGTTACTTACTTGATGAAGTATTCGGAAACCGAACCCGATATGATCCGCCCGAAGAAACCCCAAATACTTGTAAGCGCCACAAAAATGGAGACGTCGGAGTATCCGAGTGCCAACCCGATTTGACCCATATTGTTCATCACCGCCAGACCCGTTCCAACCCCGCACAGAAACGACACAAACAAAATCCAAAAATCCATCGTGCTCAGCGCCTCTGCTATCGTGTGTTCCTCTCCCACCACTGGCCTCCTCCTCCTCCTCACAACCACCTCCGGCCCCGCCTCTTCTCTCACCTTCTCCTCATTCTGAAGCAACGGTTCCTTCCCCTCTTCTTCAATATCCAGAATCGGCAAGCCTTTGAAGTATGAATGTAAAGGAATGACCAACGGCGACGTCAACAGAACTAGTAGACCACCGGCGAACACTCGAGACACGAGCGTGCTGGGGTCGGGTATGAATCCAAAAATCAATAAATAAACGGCGACGATGACTGCGAGGCCGTTCAGTATGCCGAAATACTTGGATTCTTCTTCGTTCTCGGCTGCTGTAGAAGCAGGGGGAGACTCGCGGAGGAAAAAGATGCCGGTGAGGCAGACGGCGAAGGGAATTAAGGAGAGCATAACGAGGAAGGAAGAGGGATCGTCAGCAAACAGAGCAGAACAGAGATCTGTGAATATCCCGGTGCTTAACCCAACAAATCCTTTCAGAATGCCAGAAACCGGCCCTCTGTTTTTCCGAAAATTTCGTATGCACGTCACTAACACTGCCGTGTTCATCCAAGTCGTGCTATTCCCTCCCAAGCACAAAAATATGCACATCTATACAGAAGCAGTAAAAGTTAATTACAGAATGTAAAGTCGCTCGGCACACAAAGATTCATTTATGACGCAGAAGACATAAAAATGGAACTTTCCCGGAGATAATGAGTTGATGATGAGGCCCACATGGCAGTTGCATAGGGAATTGGACTGAGCGTATTCATTACCTGCCAGTAGGGAAGTGGTTGGATCCTTTGACTAACGACGAGCCACTGGACGCCGTAACCGAGGAGACCTTCAAGGGAGCCGATGAGGAGGATGGCCCAAGTAGGAAAACGGTCGGAAGCGAGGCCGGCGAGGAGTCCAAAGGCCTTGCCCACATCTTTGGCGACGGAGAGATTGTTGAGCTCGATCTGGGTGAGATGCATAAGGGATTTGAGGGCACGGGAGTAGTTGGAGAAAGTGTAGTTGTTGCCAGAAATAGATTGAATCCAGACGGCGGTGACGAGGCCGAGCCATTTGCTGGCGGTGGAACGGGAAAGAGAGGATAACTGGAAGAAGCCCATTGAAAAAGACGAGGAAGAAAAGAGGAGAAGCGGATAGTTGGGCCTGGAGTGGGCGGAATGTATATTTATAGCGATAGTTTTTGAGACAAGTTGCGTCCGGTCGGCTGAGGAGGAGCCGACGATATGACGATTAAAAATAATTCAACAAAAGAAACAGGGAAAGAGAGAGGAGGCGCAGCGCAAGTGAATGCGGCGACGGCTTTGGATGGGGCCCAAAAGCAGGCCGTACCCGTTCATCTCATCTCAGGAACGAAAGTATGGACCGTACGTTACTTGACGCTGGTCACTTCTGATGCGGAAATGGTGGGCGCTCCTCCGGATCAAGCCACTGGGATCAGAGATGAGATGAAAAGTGAATCTGTTGTGCCTTTTGTACAATTTTTTTTCTTACCAGTAGTATAATTGATGATATAAGACCTATTTAACCACTCTTATAATTCTAAATATAAGATTTTTATACAAATTGTATAAGGATTTTATATTTAGGACTGGAGAAGTAATTTGATTAGTGCAAGTAGACCACATTACATTACTACAGTACTTGACTGCTTGGTATTTTCCGTTCAAGTTGCAATCACGGTTTCTACCCTTTTTTTTCAAATTCATAATTGTTGTGTTTTTGTTGTGTTGCAGGACAAGTTGGACAGGAACTTACCAAAACTCAGGGTCGAGGGGTCGATTGTCTTTGGTAGGAAAAGAAAAGGGGTTGGTAGTCTCTTGAAAGGATGGGAGAGAACAAACAAACAAAATGGAAGACGAGAATCAAATGCGGATGAATTGTTTGAGACTGGAGGGTTTTTGCGTCTGGAATTGCAACAATAATGAGGAAGGTTGTTTTATTCTAAACGAGGAACGCAACATACAGGGACGTGAAGTCCTGATTTCACAGGGCCTTGTTTCCACTCTTTCAATGACGGCAACGCATTCATATCAAATTAGGGCAAGCAGTGTATTGTATACGTCTCTGCCACGTCAATTTTTTTTATTGTAATTTCAAATAATCCAACAGATCTCATTTGTTTCCCACTTGCACGAGCTGTTCATGTCAATTCTATTTAAAATTACATTTGACTATGATCGGCATTAAAAGTTAAAGCACGACAACTCATGGCTAACCCCAAATTATCTTATTAATATGTTTTTAGTAAAATATATCTATATATAAAGCCTATCTGGTGTTGGCTAATAAAAAAAGAAAAAGCCTATCTAGTCAATATCATGGATACCAATATAAGATCTATATCAAGTCGTGTAATTCACAAATTATGAACAACATTACTTATTCCTCAAAAGATTTATGATTCATGAATTATAAAAGAGCAAGTGGTTTTAACGTGAACGTTTTAATATTTTATTAGTTAAAAAATCAAATAAACAAAAGCAATAATCCATGGGCAGTGCGTGCTGGGTGCCGTGGACAGTGGCGTTTCGGGTTCCAAAGGCTGTACCCCGCCAAGGCCTTTGTATTAGACTCATTTTTTTATTTCGATTCAAAACCAACGTTGCTTTTTATGGAATAAAAAATTATTTGAACGACGGTATGACTATCACATTACTTGGATTGAATCCGCTCCAAGTTGTAAAAAACCATGGTTTGGGTCCTAGACTTGCCAAACACCCAGGAAAAAACAGAAATTATGGTTTTGAATCAAAACCATGATTTCAGAAGAAATGAATTATTTTGCTTTTGGCTCAAATGAGAGAGTATGATTGTGCCTGTAGAGTAGATCTTAACGATAATATGATTTTAACATTCCTCAATTATTTTTTTAATAAAAAAAATTCGATTCAGAACCAACGTTGCTCTTTATGGAATAAAAAATTATTTGAACGACGGTATGACCATCACATTACTCCGATTGGATCCGTTCCAGGTTGTCTTGTAGAATTTCGATGATCAACGTTTGCATATTCTCAATATTTTATATTTCCCGTTTCAAATTAAGTGGGCAATTTCCTGCTTTTTGGGTTTGTTCTGCGTCCCTTATCAACTTATCACATGCATACATACATATATGTGAATATATATACTCTTTTAATTTTAAATATAAATTTTTTTTTATAGTGTAATTTACACTATAAAAAAGATTTTATATTTAGAGCAAGAGAAAGTATATAAATATTCAAACAGATCCGGCCCCACGTACTTCTCACTCGATGTCTTTCAGAATATAGAAGCTCGCTGCTTCTTCACATGAAAGATTCCTTTTCTCCTCCTTCCTTTTCTTTGGTACAAGTATGAGTAATCTGGTGGTTGAATCCATTGATTTCATAAGTCTGCTCGACTGGGGAGACTGAGTGATTTGATTCATTCATTTTGTGATCAAATTGGCTTATTATTCAATAGTTTTTTCCAAAATTAATTTAATTAATGTCGTCGCAATCGTGAAATTTTTTTGGCCTTTCACTGTCAAGTTACTAAGAAATAAGCGTCTAGGAGGATAGGATATAAAATATTAAAAATAAAAATATATATAAAAATGGATGGCTGCATCATTCATGCATGTGGCCGGGAGCTGTTAAAAATTTTTGAAAAATTAGAAATAGTTACTTCTATATCGAAGCAGACAATGAGCCTCCACCTGTTGTGTGTCTTGCGATGAATGTATAAAAAGGACTGAATGGAGTATAAGAATTAGCTAGGTTTGAATTTAGTTCTTAATTTATCATTTTGTTAAAATCAACTTCCATAACTTACATATTGATATATACGTATAAATATATACTCCTCCGATCCTTATTATAAGACCCAATTTGACTTTTTATTTGGTCCTAATTATAAGACCCAATCCATTTTTTCTTTTATATTTATGCATTTTTTTTCAAGATAATCCTTCTAATAATGATAGTTTTAGCCAATATACTTAATTAGCAAGGATATTTTAGGAATAACAACACTTATTTATTATAAATAACCAACTTAACTTATTTCCTTAATCTCCTCAAATAAGTCAATTGGCTCTTATAATTAGGACCGGAGGAGTATTATATAAACTAATATTATGTAGGAATATTTCAAAAAGATTATGTTTTTTTTTTTTGGGAGGGGGTTAAGTGGGTAATGCTCCAATTTTAAGTACGGGGCAGACTTTCGGTCGATCCAACAAAATTAAGTACTAACATTTAGACAGTGGAAAACGTTTGTTTTTTGTTTTCCAGAATTTGGGAAGGGAATTGGATCACTAATCAGTGGAAGGCATGAGTGAGAGAACACAGCAGTGTTATGCAGGTGTTGTGAGGCGCCGATCATCAAAAAAATCCAGCAACATGTGAGTCCTAGTTTGATGTGATCGACAGCCTCACCAATCAAACCAAACAAAAATAGGAACAATAGAAAATATCTTTGGATCTACGGCCCCTGCGTGGCTTCCACTTTTCATTTATTTGTCCTTGTCCTCATTATTCAGTGCGCTGTGTCCCTCGTGTGGGCCTTCTCTTCGCACCTTACCTTTCCCTTTCTCCCAATTTTGGTCCCCCGGCTTCACTATCAACAATTACCATCTCCTCATGGTACTCACAAATATCAAATTGAAGCCTCTACTTCATAGTCACGTACCTATTTGCCCCCGCTTGGGTTTCCGAGGCCTCCGGCCGGCCGGCCGCCATGGAGGGAAAGCCTCCTCCATGAAAACCAGTTCATTCTTGTTAACAACATCACAAGGAGTGATCAACTGATTAATTAAAGAGACAAATTATGGATGAAGGATCAATATAATTATGGAGATATGGGGAGAGACAGACGGCGGGGTTGGTGGGCGTGGAGGGCTTTGACGTGACTTGAAGACAACTACTAAACACCCACCAGCCCCGCCAGCTGATGTTATTGCTTATTCACATACATAAGCCCCCCACGGCTAGTCCTCTAATTACGAAGCGTCTTCTCATATTGGCCCCGCTTTTATGATAAGAGCACACATAGTCAGCACCAATCCAAAAAAAACTGCCTTAATTCCATGCCAGGTTTGCATCCATCACATGGTTTGTCCCATTTCGATAGATTGCGTAAGGGGCTGATCCACTCATTCTTCCTGCCCCAAAAAAAAAAAAAAAAAACAGCCAAAAGCACTACTTAAGTTCTGCCATTTTATTAAGCTTATGTGGCCTAACGTCCGCCACATCAAAATATCATGTAGATATGATCACTCCCCTCTGGATATTTCTGCTCAGCCTGCTACACTATTGACACTGTTACTTAAATTTAGTTATATATATATATATATATACAGTCTTCATATATATTTTTGTATGAAATTAATAATCAATACGAACATTAGGGAATTGAAGTTTAAAGTTGTTACGTTGAATGTATGCATCATCATGAGCATGGGAATGGGTTATTTGAATTGGAGAGCCCTGGGGATCATTGAAGTTATTGGGAAGAAGCAAAATGAAAGCATGACGATGTATCTTGCACGAATATGCCTCTCCCTCGGACACGCTTTGCTCAACCACACCACCTTTCATCATTTGCGTTGTTCCATCACTTCTTCTAACTCAGTTGCGTTCTATATGTAATCCACGTTATGTATCCACTCGCTTTTCATGCTCTCCCATCTTATCCGATCACAAACGATGATTTCTCATTTCTGGATTAAGAGAAATTGTATCTTTTTATTTAATGTCGATGTAAAGCGGGATTGAGTGGGGATAATAAATTAAGGATGGGAACCCGACCCAGCGAGCAGGATTGGGGATATGGATGGAGATGCATCAATACGCATATGTGAATAAGCTCAAATTTGACCCTTGGGACTTTCTGTGGTCACCCAATCCAAATATCGACCCGTACAGATCTACTTCTTCATTATCACTTTTGTCTTTTTATTCGCAAAGATGCTACTTGCCAGACAATTAATGAGACAACGTCACATATTCATATGATATGTGTCACTCACAATTCTCAACGTGCCCTGATGACTTTGCTTTTTTTTTTGTTTTTTTTAATTTCAATTAGTCCGCACCCTAAATGGGTTTGTTGTGGAACATGACACTCATTTCCAGCGCAACACCCCGGCCCACACCCTTATAATCCACGCCCTCAGATTTCTTTTCAAATCTAACATTAAGGGGCCTTGCAGCTTCGTTAACTGCTGTTGTCTAACCAGGCACCAAAATAATTTGAGGGCAAAAAAAAATAATAGAGGGCATTTGTTTTATTGTGTGTGAAAGTACCCCGTAGTATGTGTATTATGCGCATCAACTAATATGCATGGTTCTCCCGCCTTGTCTGGACTAAATCAAGCA